AGCTTTTGAAAAATAGGATTTCTTGGCAGATTTTTCTTTGAGTCGTATGTCTGAAACTGAAACTATATACCAGTTTTAAGTAGCTATAGGAAGCACATTGTTTTTTTTTTTAAATCAGTTTTAAATACATAAACTATTTCAAGATCTTTGAGCGTTTAATGCACATTTGAAATTATTTTAGTAAGAATTTTGTTTTACCAATACATGTTGAATTCTGTTTTTTAATAAAACACAAAGCTTAGATTTCAAAAAGAAGAAGAATAGCTGGTGGTCCCAGAGTGTGCTGCTGCTGCTGTTTAATTAACAAAGGGGAAAATGTATATAAACAGATACAAAAGTTACCATCAATTCCATGAACTTAAATCTGTGATTCATTGCCTTAAAACTTTCTCTTAGAATTTCCATACCGCATGCCAAACCAGTAAAATGGCTTTTAAAAATGTATAGTAGACCAATGTCAGTTTGTATAAAAGTACCAAGTGAAAATATTTATTACATGCATTGGAAAAAAATTGTTTACCTATTGAATGTTACCTGTTTATGTAGAGCTCTTTAGATGTAATAAAAGAAAAGCCTTCAGTTAATTTGTCTTCTGTAAAATATACTGCTGGGTACACAAGGTGACATCCCCGGGAGAAAAGTGGTCATTCTTTGAGCTTCCAAAGTGCCTTTCATCCAGAGATTTCAAAGCATGAGTCACTAATTCTCTTGCCATGTGCTTTGAGATAAGTAACAAATATACAGCAGTCTTTCCCCTGATTGAAATATGGCTAGCTTTGTAGTGAACCACAGCATCTGTTTGATTTAAAATCTGTTTAATATCTGCAGTTCGAGTGCCAAGAGTATTGTGGCCTTTCTTGTAAACCACACAAAGGGCTAGGTAAACCCAATGGAATCTCAGGAATGAGCGTGAAACAAGGACTGAGGGGTCAGACTTTCCTGGGGTAGAGGTTTAAATCAGAAGGAATCCTTCACAGAATCTTAGAAACCCGAGCCACTATGCACCCTTAATTGGGAACACACAGACATTCCTTGGTGAAGAGGAGCCCTGGGTTCTAATGACCACTCTACAGCAGCTGTGTGTTTCTGGCAAGCTATACTTCGGATTCCTCTTAGGCAACTGAAATTAATGCCTGCCTTAAAACCATACTGTGGGAGCCCTGGTTCCATCATGGTTAAGCGTCCGGCAATTAATCAGGTGTTGGTTTGAACCCACCATGTGCTTCATGGGAGAAATGTGGCATTCTACTTCCATAAAGATTTAACAGCCTTGGAAACCCTCTCCCACAGGGTTGCTATGAGTTGGCATTGATTTGACAGCAACAGGTTTTTAAAACCATACTGCCCAATGATAAATTACTATACAGGTATTGAAGGAGCTCTGGAGCCACAGTGCCTAAGGCATTTGACTGCTAACCAGAAGGCTGGCAGTTCAAACCCCCCAGCCACTCCATGGAAGGAAGATGAGGCAACGTTCCATAAAGATTTACCACCTGGAAACCCATTGGGGCTCACAATGAGTCAGATCGACTTGATGGCAGTGGCTTTCGTTGGTTTAAGCACTATACCACCAGAGCTCCCCGGTTTTAATACAGGTATAAAAAAAAAAAATCTGAGAGAAAGGGCACTCTATAGCCCAGAACTTCCCTTTTCCATCCCATCTAAACCATTTGAATCCTTGGTCTTCAGATTAACTACAAGATTTGCTTTCTAATGTCCGTGACGAGTTAAAAAAAAAAGTGTGGGTCTAGGCAGTGGACCTCCTCCCTCCCATACTCGGCCATACGGAATCCTTCGTAATTTTTATTACCAGTTTTAATCATAACATAATATGTGATAAATATGGCTATAAATTAATTAAATGTAATGTTTCTTAGATTATACTAATACATTGGAACTGTTTTGTCAAATCTCTACAATTAATTACATTTTTTGTAACAATATTTGTATCTGAGTAGAAGCCTTTTTGATTTTTCTTCTTTTCCTTTAATTACTACTTCTCAAAAATGTTATTGATACAGGTTCACAGATATTAATTACCACAATATTGTGGCTAAAACAGTTTGACAAAATCAGTGACTATAAAAACACAGGGAGCTCTGGTAGTGTAGTGCCTAAGGTACTTGACTGCTAACCAGAAGGCTGGTGGTTCAAACCCACCAGCCACTCCTTGGAAGGAAGGTTGGGCAATCTACTTCCGTAGTGATACTGCCTCAGAAACCCAAGGAAGGGTCACTATGAGTCGGGCCGACTCGACAGCATATAACAACAACATAAAAACACAGGCAGCAAGGAAATCAACAGTGCTTGCTTGTGTGTGCAGACATGTGACTGGAAGCACTATTGTTAATTGGGTGATAATGGCAACTCTGACCAGAGCACAGTAGAAGTTTCAAAAAGTAAATTAGCATAGGGTTTTACCCTTGTAGGTATATTGTTACATGTAAGCTGGGCTTAGTAAACATGTTTTTGTTGTTGTAACGACAGGGCTATTTTTATAAAAAATAATAAATTTTGCTGAAACACTGCACAATTTTATAGTCATTTTGGTGTCATCTCCTCTGATAGTGTCACCTGGTATGGCCTGCACTCCTCTAGTGATGCCACTGGGTCTGTCTTGCCTGGAGGTGAAATAGCAGTTCTCTATGAGGTGCTGGGGAGCTCTGGTAGCATAGTGGCTAAGGCACTTGACTGCTAACCAGAAGGCTGGCGGTTCAAACCCACCAGCCACTCCTTGGAAGGAAGATGGGGCAGTCTACTTCTGTAGTGATACTGCCTCAGAAACCCAAGGAGGGGTCGCTATGAGTCGGGTCCGACTCGGCAGCACATAACAACAACAACAACATGAGGTGCTGAGTCTAAGGAGCTCTCCAGTGAATTCACTATGAAGGTATGATGCTTGAGCACCATTATCCTTCACTGGCTCAGGCCTCTTCCAGGGTCCTGGGAGAAGCCTTAGAAATTCTGCAATTCCATTTTTGTATTCTTAAATCTGCTAAATCATATAAGCCTCCGGCACCACAAAACCTTGATCTGCCCTTGCACCGTGGGACCTGGACAGCCCAGAGGGATGATCACAACCTCACTTGGTGTTGGGACCACAAAACCATTCTCTGCAGCTCTTGGGAATTGTAGTCATTCTCATAGGCAATAATAGGAAAATAAAAGGATCTGCTTTCCCAGGAACTCAGTATGTCTGGAGCCACACAACCTGGTGAGATACTTGTGCTCAGACTATGTCTTGTTCCCTGCAGCTTCCTCAGTGCCAGGCCCTTAGAGAAGATTCTTGTGTTGTATAACCTCCCCAAAGGCACACACCTTTCTTGTTTTCATTTGCTTAGACAAAGCCACAGTCCAGAGTCAAATTTTGATACATGTAAGGGTGACAATCTCTGTATTTGGAGCTCCCTCCCTTCCATCCTTCATGCTGATGTGTGACTCCAGCCCATGACACCTGCCTGTGTAACTCAAAGCCATTTGAGCTGGAAGGGCTTCCAGAAGGACCAACACCCCTACAACTGTTTTCCTATTTTCCAGGTCTCTTGCTGTGTATCTGGCCATGGTTGCAGATTCAAATATGACTGCAGCCAGTCCTAACACATCCCCTTATCTCCTTCCATTAGTCCTGGGGAAGTAGCTTGAGGCCATGATCAGTTTGGCCCACTTGAGCTGACCATCCCAGTCCCTTGAAATACTGTCTAATAACAGCCCAGGAGAGAGCTTGAAGTTCTAGCAGGAGTATCAGGCGTCCTCAGAAGCTTGCAAGACCTCCAAATGCAACACACCCCATCCTCTGGTCTTTGGTGTAGAAATGTGAAGTCAGCTCGCTCTTGGCACTACTTCATGGATGCGGCCTCATCTTTACTTGACTATGTCTTCACTCTATGCTTTGTGTCTGAATGAATGTCCTCAACTATATGTCAAGATAGGAGCTCTGATAGCACAGTACCTAAGGCATCTGGCTGCTAACCGGAAGGTTGGTGGTTCATACTCACTAGCCACTCCATGGAAGCAAGACTGGGCAATCTGCTTCCATAAAGATTTACTGCCTTGGAAACCCAATGGGGATTTCTATGAGTCAGAATCGATTCGATGGCAGTGGATTTGGTTTTGGGGTTTTTTGGTTTTTTTTTTATGTCAAGATGGAAATAAGAATGTTTTAGTGGCCTCACAGTGCTGCAAGAAATGTCGCCATCAGTGTTTTCTCATTTTTATAAATGTTCTTTGCTTTTTGCTATTTGTCAGGTGGTATTGACTTTTTTTCCCTTAGAAATGTGAAAGATGGTTCCAGCACCCAAATACAGAACATGGCCTTTTGGTAGTAGATTGCCCTTTTCAGGAGAAACATGACTGGGATTGTGCAGAGTTCTACAGTTTACAGAGGCTTTTTCAAGTCTTTATCTCAGCACATCCTCTCAGCAGGCTCCCTGAGGTAAAAAAATAATAAGAATAAAATAAAGCTAATTTCTGGTAAGTTGATTACAACTCATAGCAACACTACAGGACAGAGTAGAATTGGGGTTCCAAGGCTGTAATCTTTAGGGAAGTAGACTGTCGCATCTCTTTCTGGCAGAGCAAGTAGTGGGTTCAAACCGCTGACCTTTTCTGTTGGCAGCTGAGTGTTTAACCACTGAGCTATCAGGGCTCCTCCCTGAGGCAAGGGGCAGGAATCCAATTTTAGTAAGGATCCTGAGTCCTTGAAGGGTGGAATGATGTGCCCAGTCACAAAGCTGGGAAACACAGAGCTGGGACTGGAACTCAGGCCCAGCTCCAAACCACAGTCTCTTTCCATGTTACGAAGTGCTGGCCTAATGGCAGTTCTTAAAATCAAAAAAATCATTTATTAAAGACATGTTAATACCATAGCTGAAATTATTTATTTTCATTTGTCATTGCCAGTTATTCCCTGCTACAGTTGGGTATTGTCATCTTGTTGCTGGGTTTGCCATCTCCCTGGAGTGAAAGGAACACTTTTCTTTTTAAAAATTAATCAGTCTGTGTTTTCAAGCTCAGGAAAGGCTCTCTCTCCCTCGTCCTCCTTCAGTAGTCCCGCGTGGGAAGTGTAATCTTGTGGATGAATTCATCGTACTTCACTTTACCATTTGGTTCAATATCTGCTTCCCTGAAAAGTTCATCCACTGCAATAAATCACATTAATTGTTCAGTTTGGCTTTAGGGTTACACTATAGGATGTCTAGTTCCGTGCAGACTGGGGCTCCCCAGAGGTCTTTCCTGAGTGTCCAACTGACTGTTTGTGTAGACCAGGAAGTAAACCAGTAAATAGAGAGGGACACTCCACCTCCATCCCCTTGGAGACCACCCCACTCACTTCTGATCTGAGCTGAGAGGGCTTTCTGCCAGGGCAAGGGGGGGCGGTCAGGGTTGGGGGAGGTGTACTGCTGAGGTTTTAAGCACTGAAGCCACCCTGTGCTTTTTTTCTTTTAAAAAAAATCAGACCCCTGAGTCTAGAGTTACAGAAATCTCTGGCCTGGATTTCACCTTCAATAGCCCAGCCTCTGAGCACCGCAGGCCTGAAAGGACACCCTCTGCAGCTCCCCCCGGGGTCACCCCCAGCCCAGGCTTTGGCCTGCCTGCCACCAGCCTGCTTTCTCTCCTAGATCAGCATTTCCCACCACCCCTGCCCCCACACCAGTCAGGCACTCAGTGACAAGTGGTGTCTGCTACCATTACCTCTTAAAAGATAGGATGTATTTGGGGGGGGGGGCAATGTAAGGGAAAAATAAATCCAACTGTGCCTAAAGCTCCCACAGTACAAAACTGCCATTGTTTCCAATCATTGCTCAAAAAAAAAAAAAAAAAATCACTTCATTTGCTTGTTTCTTCTGGTTCTGGATTCTGGCACCAAATACTAGCTTTTCCCAGGCATTGGCAAGAAGACCCATTTCAGCCATAGCCACCTCTCTGGGCTCTCCATCGCTGGCTCTTTGGCCCATCCACACCCTCCTGCAAAAACTCACTACGCAGTGTGAATGTTCCTAGCCTTAGACACCCCCCACACAATTCTGGGCAGTTAGAAAATACACCATGATTCTCTGCTTAACCATCCTCTAAAGTGTAATTACTGTGCTCTATGCCTAAGCTGATATCCTGTGATAGTATTTTTAGAAATTTGAGGAGACTGTAATTTATCTTATTTCACTGAGAAACTTCTACCCATCAGGCTGTGGGTTAAAACCGTCCCAGTGGACGTGCCCAGTGCCAGCTCCCGCTTCAGCAGGGGCTCACAGCAGCCCCTTCTAGCCAGTCCAGGATGCTACTACGGCCTCCTGTTCAGAAGAGGGTGCATCACTTGAAAGCCAGGTGCTGGAGGCTCCTGATGCCATCTGGGTAAAATGGGGGTGCACTCTGTCTTCTTTTGAAGAACAGAATGCTCAAGGCAGACTGTTCCCAGTCCGCAGAAGGGAGGCCTGCCTGGCAGCCTTCTGCAGCTGCCCCAAGAATGCTGCTTAATAAAAGTGAAGATTTTCTTTCACTCACTCGGGCTAGAGGATCCGTAGTTCTGGTATCATCTTTCCTGCCCCCACTGCAAGAGGAAGTGAAACCTGTCTCCCAGCTTGTCTGGAACACATTACCAGTTTCTCTGAAATGTTTCTTTGATGGTTAAACAAATGAGAGATGCATGCAAGTTTGGGGACATGGTGTTTGCTTTAGACAGAGATCATTAACCAGGAGAATTAAGACCCTGGCTGGTCCTATATGCTAATGCAACCCATGTTGCATAAAAGGCCAAGGTGTCTTCAGAACCTGAGAGGGAAGAAGAGCCCATGTTTTCCCCTGTTCACATGAAAACGGCCACAGTGAAAGACAAGATGGTGATCACTGCCAGCCTGAAAAAGCAGGGGGAAGATGAAGCTGCCTTCTGTGGACTATTTTTAAAATGCTTTGCACCATGTCTTTTAGACTGCAGATAAAATTGAAAAAGACTGATTTATGGAAAGCTCTTGGAGGGACTATTGTAACTTATTCCATACTAAGGAAACTGAGAAGGGTGAGAGAGGTTTAAGAAACTCATCTAAGGTCCCCCAGAAAGAGGGGGAGCCAGGATAAAATCCTGACTCCATACCTCTGCCATCCCTCCGTTGGTTTGTTGTGAAGTCAAACCCAGCTTTAATGAAAGCCCAAAAGGACATTCAAACTGAATCCTTTTCCCTCCACCTGCTATGTCCTAGCCTCAGCCTTCCCACACCAACCACAGGCAAACCAGGTGGCCTAACCAGCAATCATAGCCTCTCGGGGTCAATGGAGCAGATAGGGGGTGGCTTCTGTGGCAGGACCCAGGCTTAGCCACATAATGTCCTTTCAGTCTGGAAGAGAACCCACAAATGGCCCAGCTTTGGGGTGACCCTTTATAGTGTACAAAAGACCCTTTCTGTGACAGAGTCTTTCACAGAAGACCCTTCTTCTGCAGGAGAAGGCATGTTGGGCTTCTGGAAAGAGCCCCTGGTGGAGCTCCAGGGTAGTAATACTTATCCAACTGCAAAGGCCATCACAGAGCCCCCTTCTGGACGAGCTGTAAGAGCTGACTGAGTCCTAAGGGAAGGGACCAAAGTAGCGTCTAAATTTGGAAGCTCTTGGCATGAGCAGCAACTTCAGAGGACAGCTGGGAAAAGAGTCTGCGATGGGAGATGGGGGTGGGGTGGGTGGAACTTAATACAATTCAAATCCCAGTTCTGCCACTCACAATCACTCACTTCACATCCTTTCTTTATTAGTATAAGGTGGATAGGAGTCCCAGGGTGGTACACATGGTTAATACACTTGGCTGCTAACTGAAAGGTTGGAGGCTGGAGTCCACCCAGAGGCAGCTCACACACACACAAATCAGCCTCGTGATCTACTTCTGAAAAATCGGCCATTGAAAACCGTATGGAACAGGGTTCTACTCTGACGCACGCAGGGTCACCATGAGTCAGAGTCAACTCAAGGTCAACTGGTTTTATAAGGTGGGGAACAATGCTCCAGGGGTGTTGTAAACATTAAATGAAGGCCCCCAGTGAAATCTTGAACACAGGGCAGGCCCCAAGTAGATGGTACCACCCCATGCTGCCTGAGTCCGACCACAGCAGGGTTTCCCAGCTGCCACTTCACCTTGACAGACCCTCCCTTCTCAACTCAGATCCTTCAGGGCCTCAGATCCTGAGCCCAAGCTTTCCCCCCTGGGCTCTGGTCCAAAGCTCCCCTAGTTTGACATCTGGTCCCGTCTTCTATGACATGCATCCACTGTGGTGGGCTCTGTACAATCCAAGTGGCACTGATTGAGCTCTAGAGCTCCCTCCCAACTCCCCAGCCAGCTGTTGGGAGACAGAGTCCCAGGCTGTTACCTTCTTTGTCAGTTAGCTTCTCTCCCAGTTTCATAAGCTTTGACCGCAGCTCCGATGCCATGATGTAGCCTTTCTTCTCTTTGTCTGTCATCAACATGGCCAGGAGAATTTCTTTCTTTGGGTCTTCTTGTTTTATTTGCATGTGCATAATGGTCAGGAAAGTAGAGAAATCCAGCTCTCCGTTTCTGTCTAGGAAACCCCCAAACAAAGCAGTGAGCAGCCTACAAAGCCAACCAACTGGCTCCTGCCCAAGCTTCCCAGCCAGCTCAGGTGCCAGCTAACTCAGGGGGTGCCATGATGGTGGCATGGTGGTGGCCATGGTGAGGAGGACAGAGCACTTCTTACTGAGTTCCCACCTTGAGCCACTCACTGGATTAGATCTTTCCTATTTAATCCTCCCAGTAGTCTTTGGCATAGTGCCTAAGACATCTGACTGCTAACCAGAGGCTGGCAGTTCAAACCCACCAGCCACCCCTCGGAAGGAAGACTGGGGCATCCACTGTCTCGGAAACCCAAGGAGGGGTCACTATGAGTAGGAATCGACTCCAGGGCAATGAGTTTGATTTTTTTTTTTTTTTAAACAGTCCTCAGTGATTATGTCACCATCTGCCTACTTTTTGTTGTTGTTGTTATGTGCCGTCGAGTCGGACCCGACTCATAGCGACCCCTCCTTGGGTTTCTGAGGCAGTATCACTACGGAAGTAGATTGGCCCATCTTCCTTCCGAGGAGTGGCTGGTGGGTTTGAACCGCCAGCCTTCTGGTTAGCAGTCAAGTGCCTTAGGCACTATGCTACCAGAGCTCCCACTAGTGTGTGTTATCACCAAGGAGCGGCTGGACCAGGAGGCAGCACCCTCTACTCCCTTTCTAGCACTTCCTTTCCTCCCCTGAACGGTAGGAACGACTGCCCTTCCTTGGCCAATCGCCATGCCTCCCTTCACAACCACGAGGATAGACCCCACCTGAGGCCTCAAGCCCCAGTCCTAGACTGGGGGGCTCACGTGCCTCTCACCCCTCCAGCCTCCACCCCAGCCTCTCCAGCTGGGCCCCTCCGCAGGCAGGACTAGGAGCTGCGGCCCAAGACCTGCGGAAATCAGATCTTCCGCCTGAATGCAACTTCCTGTTTGGAAGAGACAGAAGCCACAACTCCCTTTGGAGCTGGAAATGGGGCCTCTCAGATGCCAAACCGACAAGCATCCTATCACCTGGAGCACTGCCCGCGGGGCCCAGCCTGGCCCGCCCCAGGATGGAACCCAGCAACTTTGACCCAGCCATGCTCTGGACCTCCCGTAACCCTGGCAAATGGCCATCAGCCATCTGATAGATGGGGAAACTGAGGTCCAGAGACTGACAAGTGGCCTCTGGGTTCCAGATCAAGTGTCCTTTCTAGGCCACTCTCTACCCCTAAGCCAGTCCCTCCTTCCTGAGGGTAGACCACCAAAAGAAACAGCTCCTCTCCCCCTTCTACCCAAAAACCTCCTCCTTTTCTTTTTTTCAAACTTAGTATTTGTTTCTGATGATGAAAATGAAATATGTTCCCATTGTGGGAAATACAGGAAATAACCACGAAGGGAATGAAAATCTCCCATAATCTCATCACCAGAGAGGGAACAACTTGTAACGTCTGGGTGGGTTTTCTGCCAGACTTTTTTCTAGTCAAATTGCAGTTCTTAGCAGGTCAGGTTTTGAAATCAGAAGAACTGATTCCAATCCTGAGTTACTCAATGGCTCTGCACCTTGCTCTTTTCCTGTACAGTGGGGACTAGGACAGTGTCTCCTTCACAGGGTGTGTGAGCCTAGCCTGGCACATAGTAAGTATTCAATAAAGGGAAACTTTCCTTTAAAAACTAAACTGGGACCACCCTGTTGGTACTATTTTTATTACAAGTTTGTCACAAACTTGTTGGAATGCCTGGACCCTGGGGTCCTCTGTGCAATAAAGGTGTCATAGGTTGCTGTGAGGATTCCTGGAAGCACAGTGATGCTGGAGCACCAGGCCAGGTGCCTGCACAGCTCAGTGCTGATGACTGATGGGCACCTGCCCCTCCCACGTTGGAGCCTTCCACACCTTCCATCCACTAAGCCCCTCACCAGGCCCTCAGCTACAGGGCTCAGGGCCCACCCCCATAGCCCAGGCTGCTTCTTACCCACAACAGTCACCGTCCCAGGTCACTTACCTATCTGGTGAGTCTGGAGGTGCCTCTGCACCTCTCCCGGCGTTGGGCTGGCTCCCAGGCTCCTCATCACTGCTATCAGATCAGTGGCTTTTATCTTCCCCCTCTGCTGCTTGTCGTACAGGGAGAAGCATTCCTTGTACTCTGTGTACAGCCCCATGGGAAAATCAACATGGCTCCCTCACTCTCTGCCTCCAGTGTCCCTAGGTCCCCTACCCCTCCTCTCCTCTCCCCTTCTTCTCCCATTCTTACAGCACCTCCTGTCCCCTTTCTCCCCCTCCCCTTCCCTTCCCCACCCTCTGCCTCCTCCTCATGGCCTAAGGTTGCCAGCTTTAGCAAATAAAAACACAGGCCTGTCAGACTATATTGAATTTCAGATCAATGACAAATATTAAACAAGTATTTGTTGTTTATCTGACATGCAGATTTAGCTGGCTATCCTGTGTTTTATCTGAACTCTGTTCATTCCTCTCCTAATTTTCCTTCCCTCTCCTCCTTTACTACAGATCTCTCCCCTTCCCGCCTCCCTCTGCCCTTTCCTCCTACCTCTCCCCTCCCACAGCTGACTGAAATACCGTCAAATCTCTCCTGTTTTACAGGGCCCAGCCACAGAGCCCAGGCGCCCAGGAGCCAAGGCAAGGTGCCCAGACTTCCAGGAGACTTTTACAAAACACAGTTTATCTGGGATAATAACATGCCTGGGTTACTTTGAAGATCAGAAATTCCTTCTGGGAAGGTCTAGTGGAGTGGCCGTCACTCCATCAACCCCCAAAAAATCCAACCTGTTGTTCTTGAGTCGGTTCTGATTCATCGTGACCCCATGTGTTACAGGGTACAACTGTTAGATAGGGTTTGTTGGCTGTAGTAATCTTAAAGAAATGAACTCTGGTGGCTGGTGATGGTATCTCTTTTTTTTTTTTTTTTTTTAATTTATCTATCTATCTATGTATGTATCTATCTATTTATATTATTTTTGCAGTGTTCTCTCCCCTCTTGTTGTTTTGATTTGCATCTCTCTAATGGCTAATGATTGTGAACATTTCTTCATGTGTTTGTTGGCCACCTGAATATCTTCTTTGGTAAAGTATCTATTCATGTCTTCTGCCCATTTTTGAATTGGATTGTTTATATTTTTGTTGTTGAGGTGTTGGGGTTTTCTATAAATTTTAGAGGTAAGTCCCTTGTCAGATATGTCGTTGCAGAACATTTTTCCCAATCTGAAGGTTTTCTTTCTACTCTTTTGGAGAAGTCTTTTGAAGCAAATAAAAATTTAATTTTTATCTAGTTTATCTTCTTCTGTTTGTGCACTTTGGGTTATGCTTGACAGTCTATTTATGCCATAAATTTCAAAAACAAACTCACTGCCGTCAGGTCGTTTTTCTGACTCATAGTGACCCCTCCTCGAGTTTCCAAGGCAGTATCTCTACAGAAGTAGATTGCCCAATCTTCCTTCCAAGGAATGGCTGGTGGGTTTGAACCTCCATCCTTCTGGTTAGCAGTCAAATGCCTTAGGTACTATGCCACCAGAGCTCCTATACCATAAATTAGGTTCCCTAAATTTGCCCCTACTTTTTCCTTGAGGAACTTTATAGTTTTAGGTTTCACATTTAAGTCTTTGATCCATCTAGAGTTAGTTTTTGTATATGGTGTGAGGTACGGATCTTGTTTCATTTTTCTGCAAGCGGATATCCACTTTTGCCTAAATTTGGCTTTTTTGGGGGGACCTCATTTTTAAGGAGCATTCTGACTGTACTTCCACTACAGATATGTTTGTTCTTCTGGCAGTTCATGGTATATTCAATATTCTTTGCCAACACCATAATTCAAAGGCATCAATTCTTCTTCAGTCTTCCTTATTCATTGTTTAGATTTCACATGCATATGAGGGGATTGAAAAAACCAAGGCTTGGGTTGGGTGCACCTTACTGTTCAAAGTTACATCTTAGCTCTTTAACAATTTAAAGAGATCCTTTGCAGCAGACTTGCCCAATGCAATACATCCTTTGATTTCTTGACTCTTGCTTCCATGGGTTTTGATTGTAGATCCAAGTAAACTGAAATCTTACTTCAATCTTGAATATTATCTCTGTTTCTCATAATGTTGCTTATAGTCCAGTTGTGAGGATTTTTGTTTTCTTTATGTTGAGGTGTAATCCATACGAAAGACTGTAGTCTCTGATTTTCATTAGTAAGTGCTTCAAGACTTCTTTGCTTTCTGCAAGCAAGAGTGTCAGCTGCATATGGCAGGCCACTAATGAGTCTTCCTCCAACCCTGATGCTGAATTAATATAGTCCAGTTTAATATAGTTAATATAGTCCACCCTGTTGGATTATTTGTTTAGCATACAGATTGAATAAGTATAGTGAAAGGATACTCACAGACATAACCATGCAGTATCCCTTTGTTCTTTTTGAATAACTGCCTCCTGGTCTATGTATAGGTTCCTCATGAGCACAATTAAGGGTTCTGGAATTCCTATTCTTTGCAATGTTGTCCATAATTTGTTATGTTCTACACAGTCAAATACCCTTGCATAATTAACAAAACACAGGAAACAACTTTCTGGTATTCTCTGCTTTCAGCCAAGATCCATCTGACATTAGCAATTTTATTCGTTGTTCCATGTCCTCTTCTGAATCTGGCTTGAATTTCTGGCAGTTCCTTGTCTATATACTGATGATTATTTCAGCAAAATTTTACTTGCATGTGATATTAATGATATTGTTAGATACTTTCAGCACTCTGTTGGATCACCTTCCTTTGGAATGAATGAAAATATGGATCTCTTCCAGTCAATTGGCCAGGTAGCTGTCAACCAAATTTCTAGGCATAGATGAGTGCATACTTCCAGCATTGCATCCATTTGTTGAAATATCTCAATTGCTATTCCATCAATTCCTGGTGACTTGTTTTTCACCAATGCCTCCAGTGTAGCTTGGACTTCTTCCTTCAATACTATTGGTTCTTGTTCATATGCCACCTCCTGAAATAGTTGAATATAGATCACTTCTTTTTGGTACAGTCACTGTGTATTCCTTCCATCTTCTTTTGATGTTTCTTACATTGTTCAATATTTTGCCCACAGAATCCTTCCATACTACAATTTGAAGCTTAATTTTTTTCATTTCTTTCAGCTTGAGAAATGCCAAGCATGTTCTTCCCTTTTGGTTTTCTAATTCCACGTCTTTGCATATTTTATTACAATACTTTACCTTGTCTTCTTGAGCCACCCTTTGAAATCTTATGTTCAGCTTTTTTATGTCAGTATCATTTCTTCCATTGCTTTGGCTGCTTTACGTTCAAGATCAAGTTTCAGAGTCTCTTCTGATATCCATTTTGGTCTTTTCTTTCTTCCCTGTCTTTTTAACGACCTTTTACTTTCTCATGTATGGTATCCTTGATATCATTCCACAACCTGTCTGGTCTTTGGTCATTGGTGTTCAATGCTTTGAATCTATTCTTGTGATGACCACTAAATTCAGGTGGGATAAGCTCAAGGTTGTATTTTTGTTCTTGTAGACTTGTTCAGCTTCAACTTGAACTTGAATATAAGTAATTGATAGTCTATTGGCCCCTGGGTTTTTTTCTGACTGATGATATTAAGCTCTTCCATCACCTCTTTTTACAGATACAGTTTATTTGATTTATGTGTATTTCTTTTGATGTAGTTCACATGTATAATCACAGTTTGTGTGGACAAAAGATATTTGCAATGAATAAGTTGTTGGTCTTGCAAAACTGTATCATGTGATTTCCAGTTTCATTTCTATCACCGAGGCCTTATTTTCCAACTATTGATCCTTCTTCTTTGCTCCTTACTTTTGCATTGCAATCACCAGTAATTATCAATGCATCTTGACTGCATGTTAGATCAGCTTCATACTACAGAAGTTGGTAAAAAATCTTCAGTTTCTTCATGTTTGGCTTTAGTGGTTGGTGCATAAATTTGAATAACAGTCGTATTAATTGGTCTTCCTTGTAGGCATATGGATATTATCCTATCACAGATGGCACTCCACTTCAGAATAAATCTTGAAATGTTCTTTTTGACAATGAATGTGATGCCATTCCTCTTCAATTTGCCATCCCTGGCATAGTAGATTGGATATGGTTGTCCGATTCAAAATGACCACTTCAGCTCACTAATGCCTAGGATATAGATCTTTATGTGTTGCATTTCGTTTGTGACAACTTCCAGTGTTCCTAGATTCATACTTCATACAGTCCACACTGATTATTAATGGATGTTTGCAGCTGTGTCTTCTTATTTTGCATCATGCCTCATCAGCAAATAAAGGTCCTGAAAGTTTTAGTCCACCCATGTCATTAAGGTTGACTCTCTGTTGAGGAGGCAGCTTTTCCCCAGTTGTATTTTGAGTGCCTTCCAACCTGAGGGGCTCATCTTCCGGCACTGAATCAGACAGCATCCCACTGCTATTCATGAGGTTTTCACTGGCCAGATCTTTGAGAAGTGAATAAATAGCCTCTTCTTTCTTCTGAGTCTGTCTTAGTCTGGAAGCTCCACTGAAAGCAGTCCACCATGGATGATCCTGCTGGCTGAAATACCAATGGCATAGCTGCCAACATCATAGCAAACACAAGCCACCACAGTAGGATAGATGAATGGTGCCCCATTATTATGAGCCTCCCTTTAACCTATAATAACAACAGTAACAATGACAGCTCACACTCCTGAGTACTTTACCCTCAGGCCCTCATTTAATCCTTACCTATAAGGTCGGTACTATTATCATCTCCGCTTTGCAGATGGGCGACCAAGGCTGGCGAAGCTGAGAGCCTCTCAGCCCTAGAGGTGGCTGCCTGTACACCCACCATTTGATCCACAGCCTGACTCCTGAAGTGTAGCACTGCCCATTTAGCTGAACTGTCTCTTCTATTCCAGGCCAGAGGGTTACCAGGGCACAGTAGTACATAGTAGTGGGGGGAAGGGAAACAGAAGGAAGCCTCTAAATCTCCCCTCCTGGGGCCCCTCACACTCCTTAATTAAAGTACTCAGGCCTCCCCACCGCCTAGCTGGCAGTCTTGCTGGTCTACCCTTTCTGGAAGGTCAGTAAGGAAAGGCAGGCGGGCTCAGCCAATTGCAGGCCCCCTGACCTCCTGCTCTTTCATAACTCTCCAGAGCCTGAGCTTCAGAAAGTGCAAACCAAACAAAGGCAACAGACCAGGGGCCAGGGGGTGGAGTGGCCCCAGGGGAGCAGAACAAGAGCGCTGGTGATCTGTTTCCAAAAGGTCATAGCTGTGATAACTTTATGGAGAACAGTTTTACTCGGGTTGCCATGAGTCAGAATCAACTTGATGGCAACTGCTTTAGTTTTCTTGTTTTTTGTTGTTCACTTGAATGTGAATTCCTTGAAGGCAGGGACTTTATTTTTTGTGTTCACTGCTGATTCTTTAATGCCGACCACAAAGCTGGCACAAAGAAAGGGTTCAAATCTTTGTTGAGTGGAAGAATGAATCGGGTTAAATGAATTGGATTTTAAAAAAAAGAAAACAAAAAACCTTTAGACCTTTCCTTTGAAATGCAAATGTGCCAGGATCATAATGAGTCCCACTAATAATGAGGTCTGGGGTGGGAGCTCTGGTTGCGGAGTGCCTAAGGCATTTGACTGCTAACTAGAAGGCTGGTGGTTGAAGCTCCTTGGAAGGAAGGTTGGGCAATCTACTTCCATAGTGATACCGCCTTGGAAACCCAAGCAGCAGTCACTATGAGTTGGATCCGACTCCACAGCAGTGGGTTTAGGCCTGGGGCATCACCAGTCGTATGCTGGCGAATGTTTAACAGGCAGTTCTGTTGGGGAGGTGTGTATGTATAAATGTGTATATAAGTTTATTATAAATTTTACCCACATGAGAGATGAAGTCCCTGGGTGGCACAAATGGTTAATGCACTTGACTGCTAACTGTAAAGTTGGAGGTTCGAGTTCATCCAGAGGTGCCTTGGGTGAAAGGCCTGGTGATCTACTTTGCAAAAATCAGCCTTCAAAAACCCTGTGGAGCACACTTCTACTCTGAACACGTGGGGTTGCCATGTCATAATTGACTCAACAGCAACTTTTTTCTCTTAAGGGCAAGGTAGCACAGAATTTACAAATAATAATAAAATGAATAATATTCTTTACTATAAATTCCATATAGTAAATTAATGATCATGATTGAGTGTGGCCAACCTCTTGTTTCTGTAGCCAACTTATAATTGCAATTCAGCCATGATTTTACAGATGGTGCTGATGCCAATGAATTTTCCCAATGAATGTATTAGTATTAAATCTGACACATGATCTACTATTAAACTGTTTTTTACCGTGTACAAATTATATCCATTAAACTGAAACCTCTTTCAAAAGCTTCTGCACTACTGATTGCAAGAGAGCTTCATGATGGACGCAGGGATTGGAACATCGTTTGATTCTACATCATTTAATAATGGCTGGGATTAACAACCAGCCCACAAAATTCCTCAAAATGTACCAGTCGACTCCAGCACGTACTTGGTGACACCCACCCTGTGGGTCAGGCCGTGACGTGTCCCCTCTGTCCCTCACAGCAGGCTGGTGAGGTGATATCTATTTCACAGATGAGAAAAGTGAGGCTCGGGAGTGATTGGCCCCTAGGTCCTGCTGCCTCCAAATCTCCTGTTCTTCCCACTCCAGCAGGCTACCCTTTCCAGTTTTTCATTTGTTTATTAAACATTTGTGGACTGTGGGTGCCAGATGGTGGGATATGAAGAGAAGCATACATTTCTGCCCTTCCAGGAGCCTCCGAGAGGTCAGTGAGCCTCAGAATAAGGCTGGGGGTGGAAGAGGAGATGCTGAAGCTGAGAGCTGGACTCCTTCACTGAGTCCACCCTAGGAAATGGGACCCCTGTCCTGGGCCCTGTGCTTTAAAAGGTCCTGCTCTGTCTGATAGCGCCTGAGACTATGGCCCTTAGTTACCCTTCAGGTCCAGAACTGAACCCATTCCTGTGGCTTCCAGCCAAACAATACACGGGCATATAGGATGAACATTTACATCAGGTAGATACACTCCTAGGAGCGATCATCAATTGATCATCAATCGTGGGAGAACAGAAGAGTAGTGTTTACACAGGGAGACAACTGGGGTGGGGGACAGGAGTGCATGGGAGGGAAGGACACTGGGAAGAGGTCACTACAGGGAGGAAGTGGGAAGAGAGCTGTTCATGGTGGGGAATTGTATTCAATGTCATGAAACAAAATGTGTATGGACTACTGTATGGAAAATGAATTTGTTCTGTAAACTTTCACCCAAATCACAATAAATATTTTAAATAAATAAAAGGTCCTGCTCTGGCTTTGGCCCTCCTTTTCAGGTGAAGAGTCAAGGAGTCCAAGGAGGGTGTCCATCTGAAGCCCACCCCTTCACCCCTTTCCCTTCTAGACCAAACTCTGGTAACCTGGGACTGTGGAATCTCTGCCCAGGTAATCCTCAACTGACTTCTGGGAGAGCCCCTGCCCTGGGTGTCTCAAGGGCACCACAGCCCTGAGGTGATGTGATCCTACCTCAAGTGGTCGGGAAAGGCCTCAGTGAGACGGCAACGTTCTTCACTTGAAGAAACAGGATTAATAAAAGTGGGCTATCAGGCCCAATGGCTGCCCACTGTTGGGACTGCTTCATGGGCACAACCTCCGGGGGCAGCTAGCAGTGTTTCCCTCAGGCTCCAGGCTTGGCCTCTTCAGATAGGGGCTCCAGTCCTTCAGCCACATGGCTGCCATTGGCCTAAGTCTGGGCCTCTGAGTTCTGTGTAACCCAACTCTTCTCTTGGCCTTGTGGAAGCAGAACTGTGCACCAAGATAGGCTTGCTATCAGAGCACAGGGGACCTCAAAGACCATTTAGTCTTATCCTCATTTTACAGAGAAGGAGAGTGAGGCCCAGAGAGTGGAAGTACAGGCATATGTCAGAGATACTGAGGGTTTGGTTCCAGACCACCACAATAAAGTGAGTGAATATCGCAAATAAAGTGAGTCACTTGAATGTTTTGGTTCCCTAGAGCATATACAAGTCATGTGTATACGCTACCGTAGTCTATTAAGTGTGCAACAGCCTTATGAAAATGTGTGAAACGTTGTGAGGATTACCAAAATGTGACGCAGAAACACAAAATGAGCCTATGCTGTTGGGAAAATGGCCCCAACAGACTTGCTTGACGCAGGGTTGCCACAAACCTTCATTTTGTAAACAATACAATATCTGCGAAGCATAATAAAATGAAGCGCAATAAAATGAGGCAAGCCTGGGTCTGGGTCCCCTGGCCGTGGCAACTAAGCTGGGAGGGGATAAGCTGAGGAGACCGACCTGGGCTCTTTTCTCTTTTTCAGCCAATTACACAGCCTCCTTCTTTTGTTAAGTCTAAGCCACAGTCAGTTAATTGTCTCTCTCCCTCCCTTAACTCCCTCTTTTCAAAAAACAAAAAAAACCTATCAGGTTCTGGAGGAAAACCTAGTTCCTTCTCTTTCCTGTCACACCACTTGTAAACCATGCTGACAAATATAAAAACCACAGTTCTACCCTTGAGCCCCACCTGCCACCTCCACTAGGCCCCCGCAACAGCCACCCCTTGCCTGTGGGTGGGCCCAGTGCAACCACCAGCCTCCTTCCTTCCACCACAAAAAAATGAGCAGAGCAAATTGCCTAATGAGACCCATATTCCGTTGTGAGTTGCTAATTAAAGAGCAAACAACCTACCAGTAATCTGGTCCTGGGAAAAGAAATTGGCCTGCAGCAGAGAGAAGACAACAGTCAGGGAAGGACTCCATTAAACACCCCTCCCAACCCTGTCAGTTGCGCCGGCCAGGGGACCCAGACCGTACTCACCATCAGTTCTGGTCTCTGGGTGCCACTCGTGGGCGCCTGCTCCCTGACCAGTGATCTCGCTTGTCTTTCCTCCTGGCTTCAAGTCGAAAGTCCGCCAAGCCAGGTGGAGGCCTCAGTAATAAATCCGCACTGCCATGGAGACCGGGCCCAATGCCATGAGGGTCAGATTCCAGCTTCCAGTACACAGCTGATGCTCCAGCCAGGGCCTGGGCAGGTGAGGACGCAGGCTTGTTTTTGAGGAAGTGGGATTGCAGGTGGCTCTCCCCAGACCCTGGAGCCTCTGCCTCAGGAAGCTGACACTCTGGAGCAAGCTGACAAGCCTGCCATTTCTTCCTGGGTGTTATGGATTAACATGTGTCTTCCTACAAGACAGGCTGAAGTCCTAACTCCTGCACTGGTGAACGTGACTTTGGGGAAATGGGCTTTCTCTGCAGATGTTATCAATGAAGGAAGTCATACAAGAGTGAGAAAAAACAAAGCCAAACCCACTGCTCTTGAGTTGATTCTGACTCAGTGACCCTTTAGGACAAAGTAGAACTGCCCCACAATGTTTCCAATTTTCTTGGAAGCAGACTGCATCATCTTTCTCCCTCTGAGTGGCTGTGGCTTCAAACCAGTTGACTTTTCAGTTAGTAGTGGAGCGCTTAACCACTGTATCACCAAGGCTCTCTGGAGTAGGGTGGGTCCTAATCCCTTCTGAGTGGAGTTTTATGAAAGAGTAAGACAGGCATAGAAACAGTCACACAGGCAGGGAAGACGTGCTGATGGAGGCAGGTGTTTCTACGAACACCAAGCACTGCTGGCAGCCATGAGACTGACATGGGACAGTTCTCTCAAAATCCCCAGAGGGAATCCACATGGCCGAGACCCTGATTTGGACTTCTAGCCTCCAGAACTGTGAGAAAATAAATTATGTGTTCTTCAAAGCCACCCACTGCATGGTACTGTTACAGCAGCTCTTGGTGACTGAGACACTGGGTACCCTGTACTCCAAAGGGGTCAGTGAAACAGAAAGGGGATGCTAGGGTGGGACTGGTCCTGGGCCCTGCCCTGTGCCTACCTCAAGAGGACCTCCTTTCTCTCCTGGGACTAAGCTGGGAGGGGATAAACTAATCTTGTGTCAGGCACTTGATATGCAAAACCAAAAAAACCAAACTCACTGCCATTGAGTCATTCCTGACTCATAGTGACCCCTCCTCAGGTTTCCAAGGCAGTATCTCTATGGAAGTAGATTGCCCAATCTTCCTTCTGAGGAGTGGCTGGTGGGTATCATACAAAATTCATGGCATGTATCTTGTAGGCAGGAGTGCAATCTGTCCAAGATGGAGCATCTCTGACTCCAAAGCTGTGGAATGTGGCATTATAGAAAGAACAGGCTTTGGGGCTCCCAGATCTGGATTCAAATCCTGCCTCTGACCTGACTTGCTGAGTGACCTTGGTCAAGTCATTTCTCCTGTGTGTGCCTCAGTTTCCTCTCTGGGCAGCATTACAGGACTGCTGAGAATCAAAAGGTCCCTCTGGGGGCTGGGATGGGTGCCTGGGCTGGAGGCTCAAAGGAGGCTTCATAAGTGGCTTTCTCCTCTAGCCAGGAAGACTCCTCCCATCCATCTTTCCCATCTTCTCATTCCTGCAGCTCCACCCCTTCCAGCAAAAGCTGCTGACACTTCTAAATTCCTGTGTTTGTGCTGCTCCCTTCCTCCCATAAAGGAAAAGAGGGGAGGGTGGGGGTGTTTCCCAGAGTGGGCCAGCCCCCTGTGAGTTCTCACCCCCCGACTCTGAGATCCCACTTCCCTGCAGTGGAGGTGGTGGCCCTTGTCCACAGCTGTCTGGTTTGTCTGCAGGGCTCTCAGTCGGGGCTTCCTCCCATCTGGTCAGGAACACCAGGTCCGGCCGCACAGGTTGTGCCCTGCACAAGGGCTTCTGGGTCAGGGATGAGTGGGTCCTGGCAAGGGGTTGCTGGGGCCAGAGGCAGCAAGACCTCTTTCTAATTTGTACAAAGGTGGGTAGACTTGAGGTGCCTACCTTGGTCTTTACTCTCCCATCTCCTTTCCTGGCCACTTCCATGTGCAAAGTTCTAATTTTTTTATCTCTTAATTTACCTCTTCACCCGTTCCTCCACCCAGAGAATCTGTTTCGGGTTCTGACTCCTCCCCATTGGGTGTGAAAAGAAGGAAATGCTGGCTTCCACTCAGAAAGCAGAAGGAAGTTAAGTGGAAGTCAGGCGAGGGGCCTTGGAAGGGCCCTGAGCAGGGCTGAGTCTTGTGAGGAAGCCTGAAGGAGCCAGACTATAGCTTAACATGTTGGCTGCACTCATGCAGTAACCCTGCATTTGGGAAGGAAGGTCCTAAGGGGAGATAAGGTATTTCTTTCCTTGAGGTTTAGGTCAGTATGTTTGCTTGGCAATGGTTGTTGTGTACCATGTTGTTGTTGTTGTTATGTGCCATTGAGTTGGACCTGACTCATAGCAACCCCTCCTTGGGTTTCCGAGGCACTATCACTATGTAAGTAGATTGTCCCATCTTCCTTCCGAGGAGTGGCTAGTGGGTTTGAACCACCAGCCTTCTGATTAGCAGTCAAGTGCCTTAGGCACTATGCTACCAGAGCTCCCATGTACCATGCAGTCGACCCTATAAGACAGTGTAGAACTGCCCCATAGAGTTTCTTAGGCTGTAATCTTTACAGAAGCAGATCGCTGGAGTTTGATTTGCAAACCTTTTAGCTAGCAGCAGAGCATTTAACCACTGTGCCACTGGGCTCCTGTGCTTGGGGTCACGTGCTCCAAAGCCATCCTAACTGGTACTCCCTTCCCCAAACCCTCCCACCCCCCCCTTATACTTTTACACATCTTCAAGGGATGTCTCACATATGGTCAAAAGCACCTGCATTGAAGCAGTGTCTACATTAGGTTACATTACACACATACACATCAAACTGTGTGTTCTACAGTATTATGGGTGCTACACTTCAACACCAATGGAAAACACCTCCAATACCACTCAGAGGCGTGAGTTTGTTTATTTTGTGCTTGAACCTCAGCCTCTCTGGGCTGGGGGTACACACTTCCTCTGGGCCCTTTCCCTCCTGTGACCACTCTCTGGACCAGGGAGGAGCTCTAGGCAGGAGGAAGCGCTTCCTCCTCCCCAACAAGGCTCCACGTCTCACAAAGGGTTTCTGAGGAGCTCTTGGTAGCTCCTCTCCACATCCCCCGGAGCCCTAGGGATGCAGGCACAGGCATTCCCACAAGCCTGTCCTCCTTCCTCTCAACCACCCCGCACTGGCTTCTGGGCCAAGCTTGTCTCCAGTCTCAGGGCCACGTCTCCCTACGAGGCTCCTTTACCCCCAGACCCTCAGCCCGAGCTCTTGGCATATTTAGAAAATGAATGCTGGGTAAAGGGCTCAGAGGTGTCCCTCACAGCTTTGCTCCTGCCAGCCCTATGGGCCTCAGAACAGAAGACTCACAGAGCTTAATCTTCAGGCCTGTACTGGGTTGAATAGCATCCCCTCAAAACTCAGGTCCAACTGGAACCTGTGAATGTGACCTAACTTGGAAAAGGGTCTTCATAGATGTCACCAAGTGAAGATGAGGCCAAGCTGGATTAGGATGGGCCCTAAATCCAATGACGGGTGTCCTTACAAAAAGAGGGAAATTTGGATACACACACAGGGAGACCGTGTAACCACACAGGCAGAGACTGGAGTGATGTGTCCACAAGCCACAGAATGCCAGTCACCAATGGAAGCTAGGAAGAGGCAGGGAAGGATTCTCCCCTAGAGCCTTCAGGGGAAGCCTGGCCTGACAATACCCTCATGTTGGACTTCTAGCTTCCAGAACCAGAAGAGGATAGATAAATTTAAGGCCTCATGTGTGTAGTTCCTTGTTACAACAGCCTTAGGAAACTGCTACAAGGGCCCTCCCTTGGCCCTGGGAAGGCTGGGAGCTCAGAAGAGCTATAGAATTGTGCTGTGTGGGAATCACTCATTCAATCAAGTTAAAATGCTGACTCAGGACTTCCTACAATGCACTTTCCACAAGCTCATGGGTGAAGCCTATGCTGCCCAGGGACTACACTTTGAGTAGCCCAGGCCTGTTGTGGTGGATCTGACTTGAGCAGGTGTCAGAATCACCAGGTGGCCCTGACTCAGCAGGTCTGGGCTGGGGCCCAGGAATCTGCATGTCTAACTAGATCTCCAGCCACCTTATGCAGCTCCTCAGGGGCCACACTTCAAGAACAATAAGCCTACAGACGTCCAGGTGGAGTGAAGCAAGGTTGCAATCAAGAGGTACTTCCAGCGAAGCATTCCTGGTACATTGCCAAGAGCTCGGTAAAGGACAGGAACGTCAAAGGCTCAACAATTTGCTGTGATTTCTTTTCCGTTCCAAAGAGTCACTTTCACACCGAATTTCTTGTTCATTTTATTTTTTTTGTTTGCTCATCAAGGCCCCCAAATTGTAGAAGCTCCAGGTCCCACACAACCAGACCTACCCACCCCTACCCATAAGACTGTCATCAAATCCTTCCCTGGAGAACTGTCCTGGAGCGGGGGTTGGTGGTGGGGGGATGTTGAGGAGCAGGGTCCTTGGTATAGGGAAGAAATCAAGTTTTTTTTGGGGGGTGGGGGCTTCTTCCTGCCCCCAGCTTATGATGGTCCCAGCTGTCATGTGTCATCTGACAACACTAGCCCCAGTGAGGCTGAGTGCTTTTGAATACCAAAACCTAAGCCCCAAGGGAATTGCCCAAGGCTGAATGCCAACCTCCAACAAACCAGCCACCCTACTTCCCTCCACTAAAGGGCACCCTCTTGGCTTCAGCCTCCAGAATGGTGCTGGCAGCTGGACTAGTGGCCTCAGGGGGGCACCCTGAGGGGCAGGTCTGGAGATGCCCTATCCTGCCTTCCCCTAAAGCTCCCAGACTCCCCTGAAGAGAAGGGTGAAGAGGTGGCTCCTCTCGTCTCCCACCCCCACAGCCTATGAGGTGTACGGGAAGTCAGTGGGCAGTGCCAGTGCCTGCTGTCTCCCATATGGGACACTGGGTGGGCCTTGGGGTCTACCTAGGGCTGCATCCACAGGATGTCCCAAATCCCCAGATTAGCCAGCTCCCCTGCACCAACTCCAGGGAACTCCCTCCTGCCTTTCCAAATCACACCCACAGCAAGCAGCAGCAGTCAACCAGGCTCCTCAAGGCCTTTATTTGCACACCTCACCCTCTGATGGTGCCAGCAACCAGAGGAGCTACGGGAGCCCTAAGGTGCGGCAGAGGGCCCCTAACATGACAGGGAGAGGCTGAGGCACAGGCTACCTGAGAATACAAGGGGAGAAGGCCAGGTCCCAGTGAGGTGAGACAGGCCCGAGACCCACAGCATGTATAGGTCAGTACTGGCCAGGAAATGAGGTTGGGGGCTTTCAGCCACATGGAGTCCTGAACCCATTGTCTAGGAGAAGGGGGCTGGGGTGCTCCCTGTCCATGTTCTCAGTCATTGTTGCACATGCATGGGTAGGCACACGCACATATGTGTATACACAGTGTGCTCAGACGCCCTCCCCGGTCTAGGCCCGCACAGCAGAGTGTCAGCAGCCGGCACAGGGACTCAGTGCTGGCTGCTGACGTGGAGGGTGTAGAAGGCCCAGGGCTCGGGGACGTAGATGACGCCTGGGTACTTCTTCCTGAGTACAGGGTCGTCCCACAGCCAGGCGACCCAGAGAGCCACGAGCAGAAGGGTGAGGGCAAAGGAGTAGAAGAGAAAAAGGCCGTTGCTGTCCAGGAAGAGGCGCTTGCGCTTCTGGTGCAGGACGAGGGCCAGCATGGCAAAGAAGGTGAAGATGAAGAGGATGAAGATCTGGCCCTCGGTGACCAGGTACCTGAAGAGGCCAGTGGGGGTGGTGGTGAGGTGGGGGACATGCGCAACCCATCCTGCCCAATGCCCCTCCCTGGGCCTGAGGACCAGGCTACCCTCCCAGGCTCGGGGTACTCTGCTGCTTTGACTGTATCCACATGTAGCATATTGGTTTGGTTTATACAGTTATTTTTTTAAAATTTTGAGTTGGTTGCCACTATTTAAACATCAGGAGATTATCCAAAAATAGGGATATCTGGCTTCTCTGATCTGTACTCTCAACATGACAACTGACTAGAGGAGGAAGCAGCAATCCCTTTCAGAGAGAGCATTGGTCTATAGTTTGCCACAGTCCTCACCACTCCCTATTGCCTCACTTGCTGCCTACTTGATGCATTTGTTACCAGCTTGGTTTCTGTTTCTATCTAAGTCTGGGAATGCAGTTCTAATTTATGGAGTTGTCACGACTATCTCCTTGAAGGCTGGGTCTCCCAGCATTTCCTGCAGCTCCCAATGCTATACAGAGCACATAGGCAGGAGCTCAGTAACACCTATTGGAGGGATTCTGAGAGATTACCTGGTCCACCCCTCTGTCTCTGGGGAGGACTGCAATGCAGACCCATCCTAGTCAGGAAGCTACAGCTCTGACACTTAGTGGCTGTGTAACCTCGGGGAGTTACAGGACATCTTGGGGCCCTTCTTTTATTACCTAAAAGGGGCATAACTGGTCCTACCTCCCAAGGTTATCCCCGGTGATGAGCTGTGTACATCTCTTACTTGGACAAGCATATCGCTCAACAGATGGTTGCTACTATTACCGTAGCTATCACTGCACCAACATGTGATGGGAAGAACCGGACAGGAAGCTTTTCCCATGTCTAACCTCTTTTCCTCTTGCTGTGGTTTGTAATCATTTCTTTTAATCCTGTCTCAGCTGACCTTCTCGGCCAGTAAGGGGCAGGCCCTAGAGGAGACCCTTTTAGTTTTCAGGGAGGCCGCCTCTCAGGGAGCGGGCCCAGTCCTGACCCAGGTCTTTCCTATGATACCCACAATCGCTGGCTACCTGTCTCCAGGGTAGAAGAAGGACAGAGGAAAGATAAGAGCCTGGCTGAGGCCTAGACCATCTGTAAGGGGAACAGAGCTGGAGGGAAACCAGACAAGGGGGCTCCTGAGGCCATGGAATCTCACCCCATGCCTGCCTTGTCACATCCATGATGCTTTTAGCTTACAAAGCCCCTCTCTCCCTGCCTGGATCCTTACCATCACCCCTATTTCACAGAGGAGGGCACTGAGGCCCATAGGATTCCACGGGGTTTGGTGTCA